TGCTTCAGTGTCTCGTTTTCCCTTTTCCAGAATGTCACCAAGTTGGAATCATATCGTTTGTAGTTGAAATCATATTGTTTTCATATTAGCTTCTCTTGCTACATATATGCATTATGGGTTTTCTCTTTGTCTTTTCATGGTCTCATATCTTGTAGAATAAAAAAAAATCAGATTCTCTTTAGCACTAAATGTTTTTCCATTGTTTGAATATTTCATAGCTTATTTACCACCTGAAGAACATCTGGTCGTTTCCACATTTCAGTAATTCTGACTAAGGCTCCTATAAATGTTCGTGAGCAGATTTTTTTGTGTGTGACTTAGAATTTAACATTTGAGTAAATACAAGCAGCAAGATTGCCAGGTTTTATGGTAATAATATATTTTGCCAACCTGTCTTCCAAATTTATGCACAACTTTCATCTTCTACCAATAATCAATGAGAATTCCTGTTGCTTCATATCCTTGTTAACATTTGTTGTTGTCAGGATTTTGGATTTTGATCACTCTAGTAGATGTGCAGTGCAGTGATATCTACCACACCGTTTGCACTAAAATCCAAATCTTAACTTGCATTTCCTTAATGGATTATAATAGGGAGCATCTTTTCATATGTTTGGTTTCTGTTTTATTTTATGCTATCTGGGTATCATGGTTAGAAAGATTCTGTTCAAATCTTTGGTCCATATTTTAATTATTTGTTTTCTTATAGTCGAGTTTTAAGAGTTTTCTTTGTGTTTTTAAATAAATGTCCATTATTGGATATTTCTTTTGCACATATTTTTCCCAGTCTATAATGTATCTACTTTTTTTTAAAGTTTTATTTATTTATGCATCAGAACTGGGGTACAAGCCAGAGGTCAGGGGTGGTGAGAGGATTCACCAGCGACAAGGTGCAGAGTAGAACAGGGAGATCTGTGAAGTACGCTGCTGAGGGGAGCAGCGGCCCATCCAGGAGAGGTCTGCTGCGCCATGTGGGTCACCTATGGGTCCTGGGATGGAACTCGCACTGAAGTGGCTGCAGCTAGCTAGCAGTGCTGCTTTCTAACCTGTTGTGCCACCAGGGAGGGCTGTATCTACCTTTTTATTTAATTTTGGGATTACATTTTTGCTCTCCCTTATGTGCACATGTTCCACTCACCCTCCACCAAACCACCCCTGCCTGTCCCCCTCTGCTCCCCTCATCTCCTCCTTCCTTCCCCAAAGTTTAGTTATGATCTTAGAAGTATTCTTACAAAGCAGATGTTTTAATTTTTTCCCCCACTGTTATCGAAAAATAATCGATATACATTAACGTAAAAGTTTAAGGCATACAGGATGATGGTTTGACTCACATGCATTTTGAAGTGATTCTGGTAGACTTTGCCTGTGATATCTGTGTATTTAGGTATTTGCTTTCTTCTTGAGGTCCCCCAAAGTTGCTGGGATTCCCAAGGAGTGGTTTTCTACCCAGATAGACTTGGAATCCTAAAAGCAAGACATTCAGGCTCAATTTTAATTCCTGACATGCTCACATGTGGACATGCGGGGGTCTTAACTATGATATTTTAATCAAAACTTCTGTATGCATTCAAATTTCCCATACCCTACTATAGAGAAAAGGAAAGTCTTATTGAATATTTGCAAATAAATATTTTGCCATGAGAAATAAGAATACTAACTAAAAGTTTTCATATTTTGGGGGTGTCAGAAAGAAAAAGCAAATATTTCAGCGCTGTTCACAAAAAAATAAAACGAACATGTTATTTACTATTGCTGCAGCCATAGCTCAAAACAAGCATTAAATCTGGATAACACATAAAAACAGTAATACTTCAAGCAAAAAAAAATTTTAAACTATATAAGTCCTCCATAGATAATTCAGTCTCATGTATAAAATGGCAATGTCTTGATAGCAATTATTAAAAATCCAGTTTTCCATAAGCTCTGTGATTTTTATCCTCAGTTTCATAATAACCCTGTATTCTTAGCATATTTCCTAGAGTCTTTGTCCTATGAATCCCTCTAAACATGGAGTCGATCAATATTTCCATATGTTGCAAAAGACTTCAAAAAAACTATAATTAAAATATGACTGTTGAGCAATTGACAAGGAAAATTGCTCAATTTTTGTGACCAATAATATTTTAGAAATAACCGGAAATGCCAAGTGACAATATTATATCAAAGTGTATTATACTTTTAAGAAATCACCCGTAATTTTATAATATTAATATTTACATACAAGCTATAGTTAAGTATTTATCCTTATGTGACAAACTTGCCAGTGAAGTTTCAACATACCCAAACTGACCCCATCTAATACATCTTTCCACAAGGAGAACAATTTCTTGGGTGTCTTACAAGCCCTTCTAAGCTCTCCCACTTTTCCTTCTAATTGAGTAAAGACATTATTTTAGAATGTTAATTTCTATTCCCCAACAACAGCTTTCTGAGTGCAAAAGAATGGACTTGCACTCTTATCTTTCACTATATGCAAAAACGAACTCATAGCAGGTCAAAGACCTAATCAAGACCTGTACCATAAAACTCTTAGAAGAAAAAATAAGGGAAAAACTTCATAACATCAGATTTGGCAGTGATTTCTTGGATGTGACACTAAAAGCATAGGTAATAAAACTAAAAATACATAAATGGGACTTCACCAACTTTTAAAAATTTTGAGCATGAAAGAACACTGTCCACAGAGTGAAAAGTCAACTCATGGAATGGGGAAAATCATATATCTGACAAGGGATTAATATCTAGACTATATAAAGTCTCCCACAATTTCAGCAGACATTTCTCCAAGACATACACATAGAAAATAAGTAAATGAAAAGATGCTTAACTTCAAGAAATCATTAGGGAACTGTAACTCAAGCCACAGTAAGTTACTACTTTAAACTCTTAGGATGACTATTATCAAAAACCAGGAAATACATATTGATGAGGATGTGAAGAAATTGGAGCCATTGTGCATTTCTGGTAGAAATGTAAAGTGGCACAGTTGTTATAGAAGAAGGATGGCAGTTCCTCAGAAAAATTAAATATAGATTTACCATATGATTGAACAACTCCATTTCTGGGTGTATACACAAAAGAATAGAAAATAGAAACTTAAATAGATATCTGTACACTAGATTCAGAGTAGTGTTATTCATAATAACCCAAATGTGGAAACAACTTAAGTGTCCATAAATGATGGGTAAACAAAATGTGTTGGGTGTGTTTATACACACATGTACATACATAAAAAGGGATTTTATTCAATCTTGCAAAAGGAAATAAATTTTGAAACATGCAACACTGATGAACATTAATGATATTATGCTAAGTGAAATAAGTCTGTCACAAAATGAAAAATATTGCATGATTCCACTTACATGAGTTATTAAGTTGGTTAAAACAGTGGCCTCTCTAGGGGCGCAAGGGGTTAAGTTTCAGCACTATTAAGCTATCTACAGCTCTGTTGATCCCTGGCCAGGGAGCTGACCCATAGAATGCAACAGAACTCTCCTGTCTCACTGCTGCAGCATATTTCAGTAGATCTTTCTGTTCTGCTCCCCACTCTGTCTCTGATGAATCCTCTCACCTACCAGCACATCTGGCCTACATTCCAGCTCTTGTATGCATAAATAAATATTTCTTTAAAAAAAAAACTAGGGCCCTCCCTGGTGGCGCAGCGGGTTAAAGCACTGCACTGAGAAACTAAAGCCACTTCCTCATGAGTTCGATTCCCGCCTGCCCCAGAGGTGACCACATGGCGTGGCAGACCTCTCCTGACCCGCCCGCTGCTCCCTCAGCAGTGTACTTCGTTGATCTGCCTGTTCTGCTCCCTACTCTGTCTCTGGTGAATCCTCTCACCCTCCGCATCTCTGGCCTGTACCCCAGTTCTGTATGAATAAATAAATAAATCTTTAAAAATAAATAAATAAATAAATGAAATGAAATAAAACTAGTTGAAATGGTAACTTTTGATATGCTTATTTCATCACAATTTTTAAATAAAGGGTTAGCTTGATGTATTTTGGAAAAGTTCAAAGCCTACATTTACTATTCTGTAAAGCATAAATCATAGCAGCTAGTAGGGACTCCAAATCCACTCTCTTCTTTTCCCAAAGCAGTAAGATTTCAATTCGAAGTCCTTGAAACAGGGAATTCTGCAGCAATTTTAAATACAATTATTATGAGGTTTATTTTATTCATACTTATTATTGCTAAAAGCTTTGCATTAAACAGGTAAAAGCACACATGCATACACACAGTCTGTAATAAAACATTAAGTCCCAAAAACAGAACAGAAAAAAAATGCCTAGAAAAGCAACTGAGAGCAGCACATCCTATAGCTGCTGATTTTACTCGGCATGGTCTGTTTCAGCCTCCAAGCGCTGTCCACGCATTTCTGCTGTTGATAGCCAAGATTTTAATCTTGACTAAACTTGAAACTATTGATCAACTAAAATGATTTATTGGCATGTGAGCCTGCCTCTAACCAATGTGGGACCTGCTGCGTCAAAATGAAAGAGATCACATTTCATAATCCACTTCTTGTTCCCATCACCCAGAGAGCAGGGCGCTAGGCTCTCTTGCCTCTCTCATAGTCCCATCTTTCTCTCGGCTTTCCTTTCCTTTCTTCTCTTTCCAGTGATGAGCTCGCGGTACCAGAAACCCAACACAAACCTTGCATTCCCTTTAGAAAATTCCACTCCTCAAAAGAAAAAATCAGCGAGAACCTACGTGCGGGGTACACACTTGACCATCCCCTCGCCACCAGGGTAGAGCAGTCCCAGTGGGACTGCTGGCACCTAGGTCCCCAGTCGGTCGGGATGGTGGCTGGTGCCTCCTCACTGTTCGCAGGACGCGAGGACCCCTGTAGCCGCTCCCAGGTCGCCCCCGAGCCGCAGGCGTGGCTGGGCCTCAGGGCCGGCCTCCAGGCTGAAGGACACGCCCCGGTTCCCGCCCCACCTTGCCAGGGCGCCTAAGTCGCGCGGCCGCTGCGCGGGCGGCAGCCACTCGCAGCCACTCGCTCGGCTAGCGGAACTCGTGCTGCTCCGCGCGCAGCAGCCATGAATGCCCACGCCGCACCCGCGCCCGCGTTGTGGCTCCTCGCGTTGGGCGCGATGCTGTGGCCCAGGGCCGCCCCCTGGGAGCTCACCATCCTGCACACCAACGACTTGCACAGCCGACTGGAGCAGACCAGCCAGGACTCCAGCAAGTGCGTCAACGCCAGCCTTTGCGTGGGCGGCGTGGCGCGGCTCCACACCAAGGTGCAGCAGATCCGCAAGAAGGAGCCCCACGTGCTGCTGCTCGACGCTGGCGACCAGTACCAGGGCACCATCTGGTTCACTGTGTACAAGGGTGCCGAGGTGGCGTACTTCATGAACGCCCTGGGCTACCAGGCCATGGTAAGTGGGCGGCGAGCCGGGGAGGCGACCTGGGATCCCGCCCGGGGCCGGTGGGACGAAAGTCCGGTGCAGGCCAGTGTGCGGGTGGGTTCAGACGTGCACGTCTTGGGTAATTCGGCTGAAGCAGACTGATGGTGTTAAGCCGGCTTTTTGGAGTGCGTGAGTGTAAGAAACAGAGCCCACCCCCCTGCCTGGGGGGCGTTCAGCGGGGCTGGGGTTGCGCTGGAGCGTGGGCTGCCGTCCGGCCCCAGGGGCCACCGTCCGGCCCCAGGGGCCACCGTCCGGCCCCAGGGGCCACCGTGCACTCCTCAGGAATCCCTCATTCACTGCTCAGGCCCCAAAGCATTTTATCAAAAGGGAAACCAAGAGTTAAAGATTTGAAGTAAGTTAAGTAAGTCACCTGCTCCTAAAGAGCAACGCAGGTCCCTTAGTTCTCAGAGATTCACCAGGTTAGACTCACAGCCTGGAGTGAGTTCACTGCTCAGCCACGTACTGGGTGCAATTTATTTCTCACTGCCTTAGTTCCATCCTCTATGAAAAGGGGTTATACTCGTATTATCCTTCAGATCTAATGGTATTTACCCTCAAAAGATTGCCTGGCACATATGTGTCCCTGTGAGTTTTTCTTGTCACTTAATAATTTATAAAATAAATGTATATGTTACTTAATAAAGTACTTATTTCCAGATGCCACAGTATATATTTCTTAAGTCCTTTTTTAAAAAGATTTATTTTATTTATGTATGCCAGAGGTACTGGGGTGGGGGGTGGGCGGGAGGAGGTTGCAAGGGGGTGAGAGGATTCACCAGAGACAGAGTGGGGAGCAGAACAGGCAGACTGAATGAAACACACTGCTGAGGGGTGTGTTTGTGTGTTTGGGGTGGTGGGGGGTGGGGAGCGGACAGAAAAGGTCTGCTGCAGGATGTCCTCAGCTCCCAGGCCGGAATCAAACTTGTGCTGCAGCACATAGCTTCATGGTATTGAGAGTTAACCCCTCTAGCCACCAGGGAGGCCCAGTTACATGCATATTAAAGAAAGAAACTCCCAGAGAGAACCGCAACAGGAAACACTTTTTCAAATAATCTTAATAAAATATGTTTGGCATTGAGATGAGGGACTCTTAAAGCCTGAGTAAGAATTTAATCGAAGCTTCTCAATACTCTTTTAATGGTGATGACTTCTTTGTTGAACCACATTCTAGAAAAGGGGCAGAAAAGTTACCTACACAATAGTGAATAAATGTAAACAAAAGGCATAATGTGCTTTTTAATTTTTTTGAGGCAATTTTGTTTTACAACACAATATGTGATACAGAGGTAAAGGATCACATCTCTGGAGACTTATTAACACTCCACAGCCGCCTCTGAGACACCTTATAGTCTTCCACCAAAGTCCACTGGGCCCCTTCTCACCATGCTCTCCCCTCTCCCCTTCCTCTCTGGTTTCCACAGTCAGATTTCTGGGATTTGTTTTGATTTGGTTTGGTCTGATGTTTAGTTTTGTTTCTCTGTATTTCTCATATGAGTGAAAATATCCAGTATTTTGTCATTTTCCTCCTGGCTTATTTCATTTAGCAATATTCCCTTTAGTTCTATCAAAGTTGTTTTAAATGATAAGAGCTCAGCTTTTTTATTGCTGAATAGTATTCAGTTGTTTATATGGACATGTTCAGTTCTTTTTCTTTCAAACCATCACCCAGTTTAATCCTGTGAAAAATTCTAAAGAGATGCAGCATAACAGTGGAGAAACTGGGGGCAAGAAATATTAGGAGTTTTAGAAGAGCAAGAGCCCCAGGGGAGCCTGTGAAGTTCACTTGTGGGGACGAAGGAGAAGTGTGGTCAGGCTGGGGTACGGAGGGCTAGCGTGACCTTTCTATTGTGAGTTTTGCGATAACATGTAAAGCAGCAGCAAGTCAAATGGACCTCTAAATGGCAGATCTCATCTGGAGGTTTTCGCCACCATCAGAAGGATTGTCCCAGGCTAAGCACTGTATTTCCACAGCTTGACCTGCCTGACGCTTTGCACATAGTAATGGCAGAATAAATATTGTTGCTAGCCTCAGACTCCATTACCTCCCAGAAGGGTAGGATAAACCTTACAGTTTGTTTTGATTTCACATACAAACCACAGCTCTGTAAACTTCCTTTTGTGACACCCTTTTCTCCACAGTTGTATAAATTCTTCTTAGTGGAAAAAATGAGACTTTTTAGTTGCCCCCAATAATAATGTTTTCTTCTGTAAGTCAAATTGAGCTCATGGTGTTAATCATCATATCAAGTGTTTCTGACAGGATGTCTGGGTGAGGCTGGAGCAAGTTACAGCCCATCACCACCCGGAGTGCTTAGAATACTTCTTGTTGGATGAGATTGCTTTCTTTTACATTTCACGCAAAATCACTGGACTGGGGCCAGAGGCAAAATAGACTGCTTATATCGTGTTGGCAGGGAGTACAGAGGGGAGGTGATGAAACAATAAGATCTTGATAGCATTTCCTCAGCACTTACTCTGCAGTTCTGGAGTTTAGCAAACATGATTTGACCTGCTTAAAATCTCAGTTTTGTAAGCTTTAGCATGTGATAAAGCTCATCTTATTTTGGTTTTACAGAGATTTTTTTGCTGTCATTTTTTTTTATAATATCTACTTTCAGGAATTTATTTCTGTTTTGCTATTAAAGTTCATCCACCCTACCCACCCAGCCACCAGCCACATCTAGAATGTTAGGAAGGAGATTCAGATAAGAGTGGAGAAGTGCTGTGGTTGGGCAAGTCCAGCTCTCTGAAATCACACCAGGCTAGAGGTGTCCTTTCTAAAGACTCAAGGGTAAGGAAGCCAAACAGGAACAGTCCAAATCTAATTTAACCCCAGTGGTATTTGAGAACATCATAGAGATAATAGATGTTCTAGATTGGCATGGCCAGTGAGAGCTGCTGAAGCAGTTCCCATGATTACGGTGGCATAAGGGCAGGACCCTGGGTCAACTGCAGGGCAGAAAACTCTAGAAGGAGGGCATCAAAAGCCACTAGTTGGTATCACTGTCTAGTGGGAGGATTAGCTTCCCACAGGCACGAGGAAGCCGGCATGGATGCTCCACTGGGTAACTTTCTCTGATATCCTGCTCCCTAACTGCAAAAGGAAAAATAACTCCCACCCATAAGAACTTTTGCAAGTAATCCATGAGATGATTAATGTAAAAACCCCCTAGCAGACTTATGGCTCATAATTAAGTATTAGTTCCATGTGCACTGCCTTAAAAATAAATAGGTAAATAGGCCCTCCCTGGTAGCGCAGCTGGTTAAAGCGCAGTCCTGCAAGCGAGCTGCAGCTTCAGTGCCTGTTCTATCCCTGCCCTGGAGGTGACCACATGGCGCAGCAGACCTCTCCTGTCTCACCAGCTTCTCCCCTCAGCAGTGTACTTTGTAAGTCGGCCTGTTCTGCTCCCCACTCTGGCTCTGGTGAACCCTCACATCACCCATGCATCTCTGACCTGTACCCCCGTTCTGTATGAATAAAATAAATAAATCTTTAAAAAAAATAGGTAAATAAATAAAGATTGTGAAGAAGGGAATGCTAGGTTTTCATCTGTTTTTAGCAGTTTTGACAGCCTGGCATGATTTACCACCACACTTCTGCCTCCATCATTTCTAAAACCCATCGTCTAAACTATCCTTAATGTTTCCTCATTGAGAGACTTAATGAAATCTCCCAAAGCATAAAGTCAAAGGGGTTCATCCCCAGATGTAGGATTCTCCCCAACCTGGTGGGCTGCCCCCCTCTCACTGGCCCCTTCTGTCCGGAAGACTGAGGTCTTGCTAGAGCGAAGTGCTCCCAGATGCTTGAGCAAGGAACTGGATTAAGGATCCTGACCCCTCTGTCTTTAATTCACCCAGGAGATCTTTAGTCAGATTTTTTTTTGTTACCTGTCCCTACCACCCACATAGACCTAATTTATATTCTTTGCCAACCTGCAGAACCTTATTGTTTCAGGTGCTTGTACTTTTTAATTATGTAACTCATCCCATTGCCCCACTCTTTCTGTTTCTTAACTTTGTCCCGGGCTGATTGCTTTTCCTATTTGTCCATGTCACCGCCTCTACTGTGTATATGTATTGTGTCCTGTGAAGATCTCAATAGATTTTACCATCTGCTCCTCTGCAGATGAGCCTGGAAGTGGTGCTAATTATGCTACAACTCCACAAATATGCTGCTCCAAAGAATCGCCTGCAGATCCTCCTTCTGAGGACTTCTTGGTTCCATACCCAAGGCAGAATTGCAGGTCGCAGGAATGTGTATACTTACTCTGACTGAGGCTGCCAAATGCCCTCCCCTGTGCTCTTTGCCCTCCCTTCTGCCGCCCCTACCCAGATGTGCACTTCCACAACCTTATCCATACCTCACGCCACACAGCTTACCAGTGGCTATAAAATTATCTCACTGTGGTTTGATCTTGTACTTTTCTAATAACTAGTTACTTTGGTTTGTTAACTTCTTGGGCATCTACCCTAACTGCATGTTCCATCCTTTGCTGTTTCTTAAATATTGGGTTGACTCTATCTTGAGTTTCAGGAGTTCTAGGTATTAATCTGTTATCAATTTTAGACATTTCAACTATTTTGACTTTGTTATGGCTATTTTGTCCATAGTGTCTTTCAATGAACAGGAATCTTTCATTTGCTATAATCAAATTAATCTTTCTTTTTTCCTTCTGATCTGTGCTTTTGAAAGTTTCCAGAAAAGCTGGTTAATTGTTTAAGCTGATCATTCCCATACTTCTCACCAGAAATTCAGAGACAATTCTATCTCTCTGACTTTTGAGAGATAATAAGTCCACATTCCCCTCTCTGGGTTTCCCCGTCCCACACATATAAAATAAGTTTAGCTAGCTCATCTATGAGGTTTCACACATCTTTGAGTAAATCAAGTGCTGAAAAATACTTTGATTCAATGTTGATTTAGTGAAATGCTTATATTGGTGAAAGACCAGGAGGATGAGGCTAAAGTA